ACAAAGCCACGCGGGTTCCGGGGCCAAGATCTCCAAGCCTACTCGAATTGGAGTCGAGCATCCTCCACCCAGATCCTCCAAATTCCAGTAGGCGGGGGTCACACCCACCACCTGGCCCCCTGGCGCCGTGTAATCCCATCAGCGGCCAAGACTCAGAGACTACAAAATGCAGCTCCCGGACGAGACCAGTGCAGTCAGTCTCCTGCCCCTGCGCCTGGCTGTTCCTCGCCAGGGTCCCTTGGAGGGGAGCGGGTTGAGCTTTCCTCCCCACCCCGACCAGGGCTCCGGCAGCCGAAGACCTCCAGGACCAGCCACCACCATGCTGAGATAAGTTATCATTAAAATTTATTTTAGAAAGAGGTAACTCTGGTATTAAAAATTAGTCAACATTGCCATATATTTATATTAAGTAGTTGATTATGTACTTATAAAAGTAATTTTATTAGGGTACCCTATATATTCATTAGAGTGCTAATATTTTTTTATGTAAAATACATACAGGGTAAACATTTTGGTTTGAGTTCCCCTCAATTCCTCCAAAGAGAGAATATAGCTGTGTGATAAAATAATTATGAAATTATATTTAAAATGTTAATCTTATATATTTTAGAAAAAATCTTTAGTTTGTAGAATGTCATTTAGATTCTAGATTTATTTTTGTTTTTGTACCTAAAATGGTTAAAATGGGCTGTTACCTGTGAGAATATTTATACATAAACCTCCATTTTTTATTTTCTTGATTTTTTTCTTTTTCCTTATCCCCATTGTAAATAATCAACTTTTATGTATATTTATATGTATGCACAGACTGGAGACAATATACTCTCTCCAAAACTATTATTTACTATCAGTAAGTTTTATTATTTTCTATTAATTTCATGTTAACTTGACTAGAATTTTGACTAATTGCTATTAAAATTAAACCTGAAAATTAGAATCCATTACTTATTATTTCAAGTAGTGAAATATTTGGGGCTCTTTCTTTTCCTTTTTGAACAACTGATTATTCATTTTTCTTTCACTTTTGTTAATGGAGAACTTTTATTTTCCAACAGAGTCAGTGCCGTGTTAAAATTCCTATGTCTTACCTACCAGCTGTGAGTTTCTTAATCACTTCACTTCACTTCCTCAGTCTTCTCATCATTAGCATGGATCTAATAATTGCAAGAATATAGCAGTTGGAGTTGGAGTGATAGCACAGTGGGTAGGGCGTTTGCCTTGCACACAGCTGACCCTGAGCACATGGTCCCCTGAGCACCACTACGAGTAATTCCTAAGCGCAGAGCCAGGAGTAACCCTGGTACAACCCTGGATATTTTCCAAAAAGCAAATAAATAAATAAAATAAAATAACAGTTGAAGTGTCAGCACTAAGTAAAATAAAGTAAAACAACACTTAATGCTTCAAACATGTAGAACTTCAGTAAATACTGTCCAGTCCACATACCATGATGCTCTCATGTTCTATTTGGAATGCAGTGAAGCTAGACTTACCATACTAAACTTAACTGTAATGTCTTTTATAGGGTTGTAAACTTTCAAGGTGATCCTGAAGCGCTTTGCTTTATGAACGCTTAGCAGCAAAAGACAGATGCAAGCAAAGGTCTAGGAGTATACCGGAATCTTTCCTCTTTTGAGGTCATAACCTTTATCTCAAACAATGAGAATGTGAACAATAAGGAGTACCCTAACAGGAGCCCTTACATTTCCTTGTGAAAAGCAGCATCTATGAAAAAGAAAACACAAGATGTCATTATCTAATATAAATATGCTAAAATTATTTATATATCAAGAAATCAACACATGAACAAAACAAGATCTTCTTTGAGAACGAGGCCCAAGTCAAAATATCCCCACTGCTTTCCCAAATACTCAAAACAAAACAAAACAAAAATACTTTGGCACTTCTCTGGGTATCATTTTACAACTTTTCTCTGTAAAGAAAAAGACCCCCCACCCCCCCCACACACACTCACACACTGTATAGTTAGTCATTTAATGAATTAGCTGTCATGGGTGGGAGATAACATAATGATGACTGTTCAATTATTTATCTCATATACTTTTAAAGATTGTCTCTTTATACAATTCCTGACTATACTTTTTTGGAGGGCCATATCCAGCAATGCTCAGGACTTACTCCTGGTTTTGGATTCATTGATATGTCCTGGTGGTGCTTGGGGATCATATCACAATATTTTATGAAATATTTTTGAGAAATCATAGCAATTGCATTATATTATAAGCAATGTCTCCACTGACAGGAAACAAATCATGTGTTGGAAGAGAATTGATAAATGTTCAGTGCCTATTCTCCTAGGACAGTAGATAAGTTTAGACATGCTGACACACTAAGCAGTGCGATGAGGCAATTAAAGAATAATCAATGAATTAAAATATTAGTCTAAAACTGGTTCAAGCCGTTCACAAGTAAAAAAACAAATTAAGTGCTGGGCTGAAGAAACTTGGTGATTTTATACTCCATAGTAAATAAAGACATAAAGATAGGTATGAGTCATATGAAAGAAAAGGATGTTGAAGATCACCTTCTAAACCTACCGTTTACTTAAGGATACTGAAACCTATAAAAAATAAAGCAATTAGGCTGACACTCTATTAAACTGCATATATTAGTAGTATTATTTGGCTTTAGATAACTTAATTGATATTCCATGTAGATATTTTTAGTAACTCAAAAAGATTTTTTTGGGGGGAGGGGCAGAATCTTCAAAAAGGCACATAAATTTTAAGTTAGCATCTCAGTGTGAGGCTTTTTGCCAAACTGGAAGACTGATTCAGTGCCATTCCTTTAAATTTGCTTCATGCATTTGGAGCACATTATAATAGCAAAAAGCTGCTTTTAGATTTCTGATGCCAAAACATTTCAGGAAAAAAAAAATCAAAGATGAGCTTCTACCTCTTTTCAAAATTGCATCACTGCTGCTTTATTCTTTTATCTTTATTGCAAATATTTGAACAAAAAACAAATGCCATCAACTAAAGAGGATGGGAAATTTGTTGTGAAGACAAAACAGAGCTCCTGATGTCAAAGCTGGTGAGTAGACTCACCTTTATTAGGAGTGACTGCAAGCTGAATCTTTACAGTGGTTGAATGCACCAATTCAAGAGCATACCTTTTTTCTTAAATAAATAAATAAATAAAATAGAACAACAGCATTTTTCTCAGACGCGTTTTTGTCAGTCATTTTAAACATTCAGTGTGACTAATATTGCCCTTCAGTTGTTTCTAGAGAATAGAAGAGAAAATGGAAGGGGGGGGGTGGGAAGCAAAGAAAGCGTGAGCATAGTCAAATGCCTCAAACTGTTTTGTCTTAATTTACTTGGAAATCTCAATCCAGCTGGGCACGTCATTTAAATACATCATTTTCAATCCTGAAATGCTTGGACCTGTGTAAATTTCACTGACATTAACCACAGGATCTGCCATGGGACAAATTCCCAGATCGGAAAACATTCTATCAATGAAATGAACGAAGGAAACCATCGTCCTCTAAAGTACCTGGCGCCGCTGCAAGTATCAAAAGTCAAATTCCTTGACTGGAATTTCAATCAGACCTGCCATCTCCATATTTAGAAAGTCTACAATTTACTCCGCAAGAACACGTTGACTAATCATTTCATCCCGAGCCGCCAAAGTCCTGAAAGAAAAGACAGGGGTCAGCATCCGTGCGAGCGCTGGGGGTGGGGTGGGGGGTGGCTGGGTGGCTGGGTGGCTGGGTGGGGGTGTTTAAGAAACTAGCCACGGCTCCGCACAGCACACTCTGCGAATGCGTGACGGTGTGACGACAGGGCTGTGGATGCCACGAGCCTGTGATGATGGGCAGCGGGCTCTCCTCCGAAGCAGAAGGGACCAGCTCCTCCTCTTAGGGCCGGCGGCGGAGCCGATTTCCCCGGCACCTCGCGGGAGGGAGCCCCGGTGGGTCGCGGCCGGCGTTGTCGGGAGGATTCTTCACCCTCGTTATCCCAGGAGGCAGACGCCGCTTTTTTTTTTTTTTTTCGGGATAGCGCTTGGCAACACTCACCGCGGACGCCTCCCGATCACTTCCCTCCGTGGGGGTGTGACTTCGTCTAAGCAACTCACACTTACAGTAGCTGCTCCCGGGCGAGGCTGCGAGCCGCGGCGGGCGGGGGCGCGGGCAGGAGCAGGAGGAGCAGGAGCAGGAGGAGGAGGAGGTGGAGGAGCAGGAGGAGGTGGAGGAGGAGGAGGAGGAGGTGGAGGAGGGTGGCGGGTGGGAGGCGCACAGCCGCGAGGCAGAGGAGACGCCGGAGCTCCAGACACAGCAGGAGCGCGCCGTGGCGGTGCAGTTTCCGCGTCGCCTTCACCGCCTCCATCCCGAGCCGCGGGAACCGCCGCAGCCGCCGGCCTCGGCCGCCCGCCCAGATCCGCGCTCGCGTCCGCCCAGTCGCTTCCCATCCCTCCCGGGCCCCAGCCCCCGGCCCGCGGCCGTCTCTTCCCGCCGCCCCTCTTTGAACTCTCCGGATTTTCTTGTTTTCTTCTCTCACCTCGCTAGTTCGTCCCTCTCGGGGGCTTTTCTCCATCCCTTGTTCTTTCTTCCAAAGCATCTTGCTTCGGTCCCCTTCGCGTTGAGGATTTCTTCGGGACTTAAGATGACTTGGCTTCGGTACCAACGTCCACTTGAGCGCTGAAGACGGACCCGGAGCCTTGATCCTCCCCTCCCGGGGGCATTGCAAAGACCTTCATCTTCAGGGGTGGGGCGAGGGGGGGGAACAAAAAGTCCTCAGAGGCGTATGAACTGAAGGCGGGACCTTCCCGACCCCCGGGGAGCTCAGTTGGGGGAACTGCTCCTGCCGCCCGAACTCGCGCTGTCTGGGACCCCCGTGGAGCAGCGCTGAGAGCCCAGGTGGAGGCAAACTTCAGTCGTCCGAGGATCGCTGCGTCCCCGCATTTGGGGGACACCCCCCCCCCCATCACCACCACCACCACCACCACCACCACCACTACCATCACTACCACCGGGCCGGTGGCTGAGAAGGCGGAGGAGCCGCGAGCATCCCTCCCTCGGCCCTCCACGCCAGGCCGGAGTCGTGGACTGTGAACCGCACGGAGCAGCGGAGGCGGCGACGGAAAGATGCGGGGCGCTGGGCCCCGGGGTGCAGGACGCCGGCGGCTCCCGGGCGGCTCCCGCCGCGCTGCGACGTCCCTGGCCGGCTGCTACCCCGCACCTCGCCGGGCCCCGCTCTGGACATGCCTGCTGCTGTGCGCCGCGCTCCGGACCCTCCTGGCCAGCCCCAGCAACGAAGGTAGCGCGGCGGGGGGTGGGGACGGCGGCGGCCCGGGGCGCAGGGGCGAGGCGGGGCCTGGGAGCGCGGGGCGCGTGTCGGACCCCCAGTGCTCCCCGCGGCCTCTCGCGCTCGCCCGTGGCATTGTTTGACACGAGCCCCGGCGGGCTGCCCGGGGGTGGCAACTTCCAAGCCTGGCCGACTCGGAGGGTCCAGCCCGGCTCCTAGGCGTGGGGCGCGGCCCGGGGCAGCGGGTAGCGCGCGGGGGAAGTGGCGTTTCGGGGTGCGGGGAGTGGGAAGTGTTGGGGGGCCAGCCCGGGAGGCTCCCGGGAGCCGAGGGGACTTGTGGAAACCGTTATTCGGAGCAGCTGGTGGGAATCGCTTCTGTGGCGGTGACTGCATGCTCGTGTTTTAGGGGGAGCAAAGAGCCTTCCGGGAGCTGTTATTTAGGGCAGCCGCCGCTTCTATTTTGGGGACCGGGTGGCAGGAGCTATTATTTCTCGAGAGAGGAGGATGACGAAGGACAGAAAGCGCCCCATACCTTAGGGTACACCTTCACTTTGGAGGATGCAGGCTAACCCCGAGAATCAAGTGCGGGAAGGCGGGAAGGTGGGGTGCGGTGAGAGACCGAGGTGGGCGAGGGTCGCAGCTGGGAAGTTGCGGTGCACACCCAGGAGAAGCCAGCCAACGCATGTTTTCGGGAGGAAAGGAACCCCCGCTGCAGCGGGACGCGGGCTCCCGGGTCCCTCCCCCCCAGTCCTCCTGTACATTCCCGAGTTCGCGTGCAGAGCGCGAGCGGCACCTGCAGCGGGAGCTGAGCTCGGCCTGCGGCCGCCTCGGCTCTCAGCCCCGGAGGCGGGGAAACGGCCCCGAGTACGGCCCCGCGGCCGCAGGGCTGCGGTTTGGGGCTGGGGCTCTGGCTGCCACGAGGGAGGCACACACCCTTTAGGAAATAACCGAACGCCCTGCACTCCCGGGGTCGCGGACGCCGGCCCCGAGTGATGGAGCAGAGGTGGCCGAGTCGTGCGTGTCCTCGTGACTCGCTCAGAGGGAGGGGAGGGCGCGGAGCCGCTTCCCCGCGCAGCCAGTTTCCCGGGAACCCCGTGAAAGCCGGGCGAGGGGGATCCCCACCGCATCCTACCAGCTTAAGGCGGAAAGCCCCACGTTGTACATTAGGAAAAAAAAATCCTTTGCAAGGGTTCTAGGTGAGTGGCCAGATAGCCGGTCCACACTCGCGTTTCATCTCCCAGGCAGCGTTTTGCCTTTTTCCCCAGGAAGTTGAGAAAGTGTGTTTCTCCAGTCCGCTTGTTCCGAGGGAACGTCTCGGGTTCTATTCCAGGATGTTAGGAGTAGGAGGATCAATAGTACAGTCAGACGTCTTTTAACTGTTTCGTCCTGGTTTGGATTCAGAGTAACTGATGATGTCACCCATCCGGTGGTCGTGCCCCTTATTTTATCCCCCACTCCCCCCCCCCCCAACCTTGGGGAAAAAAAAATCTTAAGGAAAGCTCCAAGGGAGCGGTCGCTTTGGTTAGGGAAGGCGAAGAAATGAATTGGGGGAGGGGCACTGAGTGGAACTTCGGGTAAGGTCTGTGCAGAGAGGGATGAACAGAAGAAAGTGTTAGAGAGCAAGGGGGTAGCACCGGTTTCCTAAGGCGGTTTTAAGCAGGAATCTTGTGGAAGGACGGTTGCCTGCTTTATAATCAAGCCAACAGCTCCCACAGGTTGGCGCATCCTTACTCCAGCCAGTGGAACGCTGCAAAACTTGGGCTACAGTGAGATGGAGAGTGTGTAGGGATTGAACCACAAATGAGTACTTCAGCACCCAGTGCTCTAAAGGTCATAAAAGTACAAGTCTTTCAACGCTTTGGCGCTATGTTTCTGTATCAAATCACTATCATGTAATTGGAAACAGGAATCTTAATATTGAAACGGTCTCATTCATCCACTCTGCCCAATATAGTTTCCCTCTTTCCATTATCATCTTCTCCTATCTTTATTTCTGGTCTATACAATTTGTGTACACTTCATTTCTCCATGGGAGTGCTGGTATAAATCCAACAGCATCAAACTATTCATAACAGGAATCGATTTATTTATTTATTTATTTATTTGTTGATTTACGGATACAAACTGGTTTTTTTGTTTGTTTGTTTCTGGAGGGACTTTAAAAGGTCAGAGGGGAAAAGAGTTCAAATACACACTAAAGTCATTAAAAACTTGCTGAAGTGTACTTTGCTTTTTGCATCCTCTTTAGATGCTCAGTGATATCCCTGACCATATTGTATATATAGGCTTTATAATATGTGTGTGATATGAAGGCTTCTATTATATAAGAGAGAACGGAAGAATTAAATCTTATTTTACGTTTATAGTTGGTGTTCTATACTTTATTTTTAAAATTTAAATTTGGTAGACATGATAAGCATATTAATTTGCCAAAAGCAATAAAACACATAAGTTTAGGTAGATATGAAGTAAATGGAAGAATAGATTGGATAATAGACAAAAAGAAGAAAACTCATTCTTCAGCCTGAATATTTTAATATCAATTCTAAGGTTAACATTTTGTCTTAGAGTATTTATTAGGCATAAAATACAAGTGGAAGGACCTTTGAGGTATTTTTTTTTATAAAACTATGAACATATATTTAGCAAGAAAATTATCTAAGACTGTCCAGATATGAGTACATATGTGCATAAATATGAACTAGTATATCAATAAATGAAACCTTTCTATAGAGTTAATGCAAAAAGGGCTTGTGTCCACTGTTATGAATATTGGAGGTGGCCCTGAACTTATTCAGTAACTGCCACTTTTTGCTGTCTGGAGATATATTTGTAAACAAGCATTATTTGACAAGTGCTTTTCACAGCAGGGATTCTTGGCCAATTACTGCTGAATAGCTCTGCATTGAAAATGATTCACCCGCAGTGAATCAAGCTTAATTCATTGAAGCTACAGTCAGTAATGTACCAGTAAAGTGCTTCTGACAGTTGTCAGCAGTTTGTATGTGGAAAGTCCAGTTTCTTGTGGCTGAATGTTTTCTGTGTTTGAAGAAAGTGGAATGGGGGTGCTGGAGGAAAAAAAAAGCAAAATACAACTCACATAAGGGGGGAAATTGGAACTCTGCTCTTTGTTTAATCATAAAACTGTAGCTGGTTTCATTGCCAAAGAAGAAAAGGGAGCAAGTTTTGGGGAGGTGGTTTCTCTTGGTTTATAATCAGACAAGGCCCATAAAACAGATTAGATGACATAATAGATTTGTAAAACTAAATGGCTTTGTTTTGTGACCTTGTCATCCTGTAGTAATTCACTTCCTTTTAGAGAAAGCAGCAGGACCCCACAGAAAAGGGACAGTAAAATCACTGCCTCAACAGGACACTACTCAACACACAGAAAGAGAACCATGGCCCTATTTGAATCATAGATTGTTGAAACTAAATATGGCAGTAAAGACATTTGACTTTTTGCTTTATAAACGTTGAGGGAGGGGAGTAGAAGGTTGAATCTTGGATGTTTTGGTTATTTTCAGGTGGCCAAAGATCTTGCAGGAGGGCAGGTGAAAGGATTTCTTTACTCAAATAAGAGTAGTGCGTGAACAGTTTCTTCGTTTTCCAGGGAAAATTTCTCTTTGAAAATATTCTTGAAATAGCATCCCTTATGGATAGGTACTCTTAATTTGGTATTTAAATAGTCCATATTTAAATATAAGTGGCATGGGGAGAGGGTTCAATTTTTGTGCTTATAAACTCATCATCATTATTTATATTATTGATACATTGTTTTACAAAAAATGATCACTTAAAATATTTCCAAAACATCAAAATGAGACGAGATAGCTATAAATAGACATCCCCAAACTAATTAAATACGGACTTTATTCAATACTGCCACTATTTAAAAACAGCTATGCTTTTGCAAAGTTCTCTGTATTTTTGTTGATTGACTTGATCACTGAAAACTCTTACTGGGTTTTTTTTAAATATATATAAATATATTTACTCATAAGATTAATTCATTTCTCTTTAATTTGACTTTAATATAAAAGTATAATTTATATAGTTGACTTTAATGTACAAGTATAATGTATATGGCTATATCAATAACTATATATAGATTCCTTACATAAAGAAAATTTAATGTTTTCAAGGAAAATGAACTGTTAATATCTTCCCTAAATAACTATAAACATATTTACAACTCCTTTGCATTATTTTTAAAATTTAAATTAGGAAATAGAGTAAGTAGTTTGAACTTAAAAGAAATGTTTAATTTTTTATTGGTGATTATGAATTTTCTATCAATCTTAAAATAGTTTACAGTCATTTTCATAGGTATTGAAAGTGAACTGTTTTGACTTCCAGACTTGTGTAATTTACATATCTCTTTTCTTTGAGATTATGTTCTGACTCTAAAGAGATTATGAAAGCTGACAAACTTAGATTGTTACTTCTGACATTTAAATTGGTTCTTCCTATTCTACTATTTCTAAGGAGTATGTATGTAGCTATAGTTATGAGAGCAAAATAACTCTTATGGTTCTTCTTTTCTTGGTAACTACATATTAAATTATTTTATAGATTTATATATATACATATCTATGGATTAAAGTATATATAGTAAGTTGCTTGGTTAGGAATTTCTTCAAAGTAATCTTAGTCTACATACCTAATAAGTTATTAATTGACAATAAAAATATCATTATTTGTTTCATCTCAGACTAGGTGATACATTTAGGTTTTTCTCAGATAAACAGGTAGATAAAATAATAAAATGAGTTCAAAGGTAAACACAGATTGAAATGGTTCACATATTTTTGAAATGGTTCACATATTTTACAAAACGTTTAATCTATCTCTTAAAAATAAAATGGGTTTATTCATGGGAAGATGCATTTTACATAGAATATAAATAATGCAAGAATCTCTGCTGTAATTTTATCTCTTTTTAAAAAAGTATTGTATAGCACTAGTAAACATTTCACAATTATGTGATGTGCTGTGAAGTATTTTTTGTA